CCTCTTCTCCGCGGGGCGGTTGGAGCACGGCCGGGGCCCGGCCCGCGGTGCGGTGGGGGATCCCGGGGCACGGGCATTGTAGCGCGGCGAGCAGGCGTGCGGCTCGGAGAGGGAGGGAGGAAGGGAGGGAGGGAGCGAGCGAGGGAGGAGGGGGGTGTCTCTGCCTCCCCGCGGGCGCTCCCGGCCGGGCAGGGGAGCAGGCTGTCATTGGCGATTCTTGTTTTAAATGGTGAACGCCGTATTTTCTAATCCCGGTACCGTTTTCTTCAGCGGTTGTAACGCGAACGTTAAGACAGTTCGCAGTTCTGTTGGGCAGAAAAACGCGTGCACGTTTGGCGGCGGGGAGCACAGAGCAACTCCTTTCGCTCTCTGGTAGTTGTGCCTTAGTAACCAAGTGATGCAGTATCAGTCAGCTAGCACTGGTCCCAGTCCCAGCCTGCTCACCTGTTTGTTTTTATTGCTTTCTAAGATTACTGAACGCCCAGGAAATTCCACTTTTCACATCATGGAGGCAGAACAGATTATGGAGGGACAGCCGCAGGTATTGCAAGAAATGTTTTAAGTGGATAATGTTACTTTCATAAAAGAAAGATTTTCACTTTGTTGACTGTGTTATTTTACAGGTTCCAGAAAATCCCCATTCTGAATACGGTCTCACTGAAAATGTAGAGGTAACAAAGATTTTGTTGCTGTAAAGTACCGTGGAAGTCACATTCATGATCCATGGGAAAAATGTTGAGTCTTAAGTCTGATGTCAGCAAACATAATGTTCCCAAGAAAGTTAAATGAGAACTGATACAACAGATACTAGTCCCTTGCATAACTATCTGTTAGTCTATTTTTTGTTGTGTTGCTTACATTATGCTAAATGGTACTGAAGAAAATAATGAACCTTTTAATGAGGTGGAGGTTTTTTGGAAGTACCCTCTGATTGTTTTCTACTCTATTGCTATCTATTATGTGTATATATTATGCCATAAAAAGCCAGCCAGATGTTTATTACAGGGAGGGGAATAGGAGGAGTTGATGGCATTTCTACAGAAGTATGAAAAGGAGGAATTCTCTTCATATTCTTGTCAACAGAAATTTGGATTGGAATAATCTAGGCTATCTTTAATTACTTATGCTGAGAAAGAGTAGACACCGTCCATTCTCTCCACTGTTGGTTACAGTATGGGTTAGAATAACAACTCTGACATTTATGGAAGAAATGCCTTCAGTTTTCCTCTAAGATCCTACTGTATGCTAAGCTTTTGCAGAAACTTTTAAATGTCCGTTGTTACTCATCTTCCAGATAACTGCTTGTCTGTATGCCTCAACTTCTATGACAGACCCATATCACCTTAGATATGTTAGTCTCATATCGGCAGATTCGTGTACGTTGCATATGTTTGGTTTACAGGCAGTGGTGGGGTATCCTTTTTTAAGCTACAGTTAATGATGGAAGATGATTCAGCACTTTTTGACCAAAAGGCACCTGGAAGCATTTTGTGTATGTTTTCTTTGAAGTGTCCATCTATACTTTAATAGAGTACGGTCTTCAACCTGAATTTCTTGTGCTTTTAGTATTTTGTGTTAGAAGTGCATGCATACAGGAACTATGTAATTGAGCCTACTCTTTTTAGTAGTCAATTCCTGTGTCAGTCGTACAGAATTTAAACCTGTGAATGCAAAAGCAGAAATAAAAATGAGATTGTGTTTCTTCTGTTTTAGAGAACTTATGAGTTCCTTACACTGTTTCCCCAAAACATAAGAATTTAACAGAAGGCTCTTCTGGATTAGGTTTTTGTGGAAGGAAAAATACACAAATTTTCTTAAAAGATGTAAGGAAGTTATTGTCAGTGGAGAGAGATGGGCCCTTTGTTTATGCTCACACTTCAAAGTAGATGCGACAGCTATTACTGATGTTCATTTTTTTTCTACTTCAGAGGATAGTAGAAAATGAGAAAATAAATGCAGAGAAAACGTCAAAGCAGAAGGTGGATCTTCAGTCATTACCCACACGTGCCTACTTGGATCAGACAGTTGTACCTATCTTGCTACAGGGACTTGCTGTTCTTGCAAAAGAGAGGTAAGATGCTTCAGTGTTCCTTCTTAGGAAAAATGTAGGTCTTAAACTTGGGTCATATGTCACCTTTCAGACCTCATGCACCAGATGTGGTTTTGCTAGTTATAAGAAAGTCATTACAACAGGTTAATGAGCCTATGAATTGCTACGATTGACCATACAGGACATGTTCCTCACTTAGGTGCAAATGGTGTGATAAGACTTACTGAATTTGTGATCTCCCTGTGAGGTGTGCTACTGCGAAAGTTTTCGAGGGAAAAATGGTTTTTTTTATTAATGTTATTACATAATTCACCTTACAAAAGCAAGGCAAGGAATTGTTCTAGTTTTAAACAAGACTTTTGTAGTGTGGAATTATGAAGAGTTCTGCTTGCCATGTAAAAGAAAGACAAATTGGGCCTGACGTGCATCTTTGTTGGAGATTAAAACATTTTCTAAAGGATGAGGCTGACCCTGCACTGTCAACACAGTAAGAAGCAAACTGATATTCTTTGAGTAAAGATTATGCAATCAGGGTGTTCCAAACCCGTCAATGTAGAAGGCTATTTTCCAATAATAGCAAATAGTTGTTCATCTTACACAAAAAGGCTAGAAATTAATTTGGATATCTGAACTATTGGTGAGCCATCCTGCATGTAAAGATTTCTCAATTTTGCTAAAAGAACACTATCAAAAGCTGGTATGAATGACCATAATTGCATGAATTATGGTCAGAACATATTACAGCCAGAACAACCATCACCAGTGTCTTAACCTCAGAAGGAGTTCTGGATTTGAACTGCATTGTACTGAGAGCTAAATAGGTGGAAGGGCACCTTGGATGGTGCACCCCATTTGTACACCTAAGCAGTGTGCAGATCAGTGGGAGTTCTGCTGCAGACTGAATGTAAAACACAGCCTGAGGTGGATGCCCCACACTTACTGTCTGGATACTTGTGTTACAGAAAAACTTTATTTAGTTTTTTTAAAACCTTTGTTCACTATGGAAGGAGCTGTTCTGCATGGGAACTCATCACAGGAGTGAAATTGGAACATTAATAGAAGAGGTTGGGGAACGTACAGGAAAAAACCTAATAGTGTCAAACTGGCTTTTCAGTTGATCATATTAAAACCTCGGGGGTGAAAAAGCTGACCTACCAGCTCTGCTGTATAATATGCTGCTTTAAAACTGAACTGAAAAGTAACTAATGGATGCCAGTTTTTAAGTAATATAGAGGTGTTCAAGGAACAGCCCAGTACATCTGATGACTGTGCTTGGAATTCAGTAGAAATTTTATCATCCAGGATAATAAGCATATGGATAGATGACATATTTAGGAGGAGTCAACACAACTTTTGTCAGGTTTTGTAAGTCTCTTGGAGTTCACTGAAGGAGTCAGCAAGTGCGTGTAAACAGGAATCCAGATGATACAGTCTTTAAATTTCAAAAAGGTTTCGGACACGGTCTTCCACTAAAAGCTTTTAAAGAGAATTAGTCACTGTGGGATTCAAGGAAAAGCCTTTATATGGACAAGGATGATATGAGACAAAGTAAAAGTAAATGATGAGTTTTCACAGTGAAATGAGCTCAACACTAGAATCCTGGAAAGGATCATTTATAACAGTTTGAAGAAGTGGCTGACAAAATTTGTTAATGATACAGAATAGCCTGGGGGTGGTTTGTTTTCTGTTTGTATGTGGTTTTTTTTTTTATAGTTGATTGATTGTAAATAATTGCACAGCAAGTTCATAAACTCGATGTGAAACTATCAAAGACTGCTATGAAAAATTGAAACTGACAAAAAGTGAAAGATTGAATACAAATAAACAGAAAATTATGCCCCTAGGAGGGTAATAAATACCCTAATACTAGTGACAAAATGATAGATTCTGAGTTGACAATTCCCCTTGTGAAAAAATATTTTTAAACTGTTAAATGTATATGTCAGTGCACTGCTTAATCAAAAATAAATTTGGAATGGTAGGATTTAGAAATCAAAGGGGTAAAAACAACCATAATGACACTATTTAAATTTATAGTGTTCTTGTATTTTTAATACTGCGTGTAATTCCAATTCCCCTGTATCCTGGTAGAATGTGAAAAAAGTAAGAAGATTGACAAGGTGGTTGGAAGTGTGGGGAGTGCTATCTGTGTATGGAGTGTCTGAATAGATGGTACCTAGAAAAGGTTTTTGTAAGAGAATATATTAGGAATCTGTTAAATCACAAATAGCATAGAGATGATGAATTGGCAGGGATTGTTTATCTCTTCTGATACAGTAATCAAATTTAAGTGAAACATGTAGCAAATTCATAATGAACAGAAGGAGGTGATCCTTCACAGGTCACATAATCAAGCTATGTAATTTTTTTTACCTCAGGTTGAGGACATTAACATTTTATTTGAGCTCAAGAGGCAACTGGTCAAAGTTGTAGAGGAATCCACCCAGGACTATTAAAGGTGCTAGCTCAGAAGGCTGGTACATGCTTGGAAGCCAAAAGGATGGTCCCGAGAAGTATCTCTGGATGCAATTCTGTTTTTTTAACATTCTTTATAGGTGTATTTGCTCACTGTCAGACCTTTGGTCTGACCCAGTGAGGAATACGTAAATTTGTCATTTATTCTGTGGACAGAATCCAGATTATCAGGATTTATGTACCATAGCTAGAGGAGCGTGGTTTTTTTAAATTACAGACTAAGGCCAGTGATCCAAAGTGTTTACTAATGACTACTTGCAAGTTACAGCACTTCTCAAACTTGAAGTTTTTGTTGATGTTTTGTTGGAAATTTACAGGGTCACTCTAGGTAGTTGGTCATCCCTAAATCAATGCTTCTAAGTGTTTGAGAGGAGTTATGTTACTTTCAAGGGAAGGTGATTAGTTCTTCTTCAGCTACCTAGTTTCATATAACAAAAATAATTGCTTTTGAATTCCTTCTTTTTTTCTTTACAGACCACCAAATCCCATTGAATTTCTAGCAGCATATCTTTTAAAAAACAAGTCACAATTTGAGGACCGAAATTAACTCCATAAAAATGAGGACAATTTGGCTGCTAGACTGAAATGCTTATTTGTCGCAATTTGTTCTCTGCTGTAAAAATCCTTTGGAACCATGATGTTGTCTTTCTTAATCGCACAATTTGCTTTACCTTTTGAGTTATTTAATAAAGAACACTTTACATTTCATATGTTCACTTGTTTTAAACTAGCTATTAAGAGACTTTCAAAATAAAGTACTGAAACTGCACTGCTGGATGAAAGTCTGAATAATTCCATGGGGAATTACCTGAACACATGAAACAAAGGGGAGCAATTTATTATGGAGATCACATGTGTGATAATGTATATAATTTAATTTGATTTTATATAGCACTTTCCACATGCAATATGCCTAAACAGAAAGTGAACAGATTAAGAGCATGTAGAATTTACTTTGAGGGAGTATTGATTAAGGAGAACTTGCTTCAGAACACCAAGAAGGGGTTGTAGTTAAAACAAGCAATTAGATTCAGCAGCTGAAGAGCTCATCTTGAAGCCACAGTGTTCAGTGTTTCAGACGTTTACATTAATGAGGTGTGCTGTTCAGCATTTGTCATTGGTCTCCTGTCACTGCTGTGCTGGATTTAACTGAAACTGTTTGACGGTTTGGAGCATTCTTTCTCTGTCAAAGGTAGAATCATAGAATAGCTTAAATTGGAAGGCACACATAAGAATAGAGTCCCAACTCCCTGCTCCTCGCAAGACTACCTAAAATGAAACCATATGACTAAGAGCATCATCAAGATGCTCCCTGAACTCTTGACAGGCTTGGGGCTGTGACCACTTCCCTGGGGACTCTCTTCCAGTAACTGACCACCCTCCCATTGAAGAACCTTTATCTAATCCTACTCTGCCTAGTAAAATATCATTTCTTGTGTTGTTTTTTTTCCCCCTTGGATTTACTACCACCTTTTTTCTTTTTCCCTTCTTAACCTCTTTTTCTGACACTTTTTTTTTTTCCCCTTGTAATCTCAGTAGGGCTAAAGGCCACAGCCCTCAGGGTATAATGTAAGAAGCTGCAACAGAAGACTAGGGATCAGGAGAAAAAGGTAGAATTAAGACAGTAAACAGTATGTTCTGAAGAAATACAAGCAAAGCTCTGAAAATACAAATACTGTAGCTGGAGAACTGGCTCAGTAGGTTATTGGCAGTGGGTGCAGGGACTAGACACAGCCTTCAGAATTCCTATTTTTGTTTTCTGAGACTTGTAACAAGAAGCATAATGAATTGTTCACTAGCACTGGAATCCAGATTAAGCCTAACCCAGTTATTAATAAACCAGGAAAATGACCATAATTTGACAGTCACAGAATGGTAAACCTGGTTTCCAACAGCTGCTCAACTAATCAAAATCCTAAATTTTTTATTCAAAGAAACTTCAGTATTGCTATCCTACCATTCCCATCTTCAGTGGTTCTTAGTTAATTGGTTTAATATAGCAAGCAGTTAAAACCTTGTAAATTAAATTCTTTGCTGCAACAAGGGTTTGAGGTTTTTTGTGTGACATTAAAGACTGCTTTTTTTTCTGTAATTATACATAAACTCACAGAACAAGAGGGCTCTTATTTGACTTGTTCCTTCGATGACTTAAAGATACACATTATTAGGTGGCCTACTGCACAAATAATATTTTCCCTTAATTCTCTGACATCTAGATGACTTTCCTGTGGTAATCTGAGGAATTTTTTTTGTTGTTTTAACTTGTTTTAACATAGCTTTTTTTCTTTAATAGCTTACATACATGGGTATAAGAGTGGCCAGAAGATAGATCCTTCAGGGGAAGGAACTTAACTTTTCAATTGTCTGCTAACTTGCAGGGGCTGGAATGAGATCTGGCTTGTACTCCTAGTAGGAAGGCTCTCAGTATTTTACATATTTCTTAACACACTAAGAGGGAAACATTGAATTAGTGTAGTCCACAAGCAGTAGTATTGGGGAACAAAGAAAAAACTGAAAGAAACATGCAAACCCAAAACCAAGCCTAAAAAGCTCTATTTTGGAAAACGTACAGAAATTGTGGAATGAGATTACTAACTCTGTTGCATTGTGGCGAACAGTCTCCATCAAACACTGCCACTTAAGACACTGAAAGGATTTTAACAACAGTGTTTTGACTTTCTGGAATGAATAATAACTTTTAAGTGAAGACAAAGAGACACCAAAAAGACTTGGTACTGCTATTTTTATTGCTAAAGTGGCATTCTAAGGTTTCATCCATAAATGACAACATCAGAAGACTGTAAGAATTGTTACATGTGGGGAAAAAAAAATCTATGCTGATCCCTGATTTCTATGTTGAGAATTTGTGCAAGACCATACAAAAAGAAGCATCTCAGCTATTAATCTTCCCTAGACAGAGCAATTTTCCTGTAATATATCACCATGCCTGAATTCAGAATACAATCAGATTTCTCAGCTTACAGAAACACCCTCCAGGCAGCTGCACAAAAGCTTGTCAACATGCACGGTTTCTGACAGCTCTTACATCAACCTAGAATCTCAAATATGAGTACCAGCCTTAAGGTGAGCTGTCCTTGCCAGCAGCATGCCACCTACTCAGCCGCTTGTGCCGCCATTTGGTACGTGGTGTCACCTGCTGTTGTCTTCCCGTCTAGGCTAGTTCAAGAGAATGAAAAAGCCACGTTCAGAAGGTGATGATGTTAGAAGATTGACTACAGCAGCTTTTCTGGGCAGGTCCCTCCAAGAAAGTAAGTTGAAATGTTACTAGCAGCAGTTAACTCGCTAGCTCCAAGAAATAAATTTTAGTGATTCTTGTAACGGTATGACAAGAAAAAAGTGCAACCATATTCCTTTATTTGTTAAATTGGCTTCACCAATTAGGATCTGCTGCATAGAGAATATTCTGTAACAGGAAAAAGATAGCACCTTACCATCTGAATAATGAGATCATATCTGAATAGTCCAGTTCTCAAAGTTAGGGAAGTAATGATGACGCCCAAATTTTCAAAGTATTTACTGGTTTTAAACTTTCCCCACTACAAACCAATGAAAATTCTGTGAAGAGACTTGACAGATGCTTGCTATCCTAATTTAATCCAGAAAGAAAGAAGTACCATTTTTCCACAGGAAACACCAGTTCTTAGGGCTTCAAGATAAATTTATTTAATTTTCAAGTACAAATTAAAAGTGATTTTACATTTATAAAAATGAGGAATTCATCAACAAAATGGAGAATAGATGTAAGGGGCTACAAGTTAACAGATGTAGAATAAAAGCTTGAAGAAGTAATTGAAATGGCAACTTTAGATGTGTGACAGGCCACTGCCAAGTAACTGAAAGCCATTATCTCTTGATTCTTGAACTATTATTTTTCAGTTTTCTCCCACTACCCTACGTAACGAAGTGTATGCTCCAGAAGGGCAGTAAAATTAAGCAGAGAATAAAATGGAATACCTGGTTAACACCACAGCACACCTTCCAAGAAGACTATTTTAGATCTAATATTCAGAAGTTACTATTCAGTAACTGTGAAAGAATTATGTATGACTCATATGCAGTATTTTGAAGTCTGCCTTTTTAAATGCTTCCACCATGAACATTATCTTTTACCTTGAAGGGGACAGTGACAGAAAAAAAAATGGATTTCCTACTAAAAGCAATTCTGATCAAAGGGTTCTAAATCCTCATATTCTGAAGCTTGTTACCACCTAGAAATACAGTTTGACTTGCCAAATCCATTTTTTGCACCTCTATCAAGGACTTTCTCCAAAATCAGTACAGGTCTTTGAGCTGTTTTATTTTTTGAAGTGCTGTCAACTATTGTAAATGCACTCTGATCAAAAGAACTTCTCTCTCCCCATCATACTTCCTAGAAATAAAACAGCTGCTTTCAAGCAAATGAAAAATCTGATAAATTCTGAAAGATACAAGCAGTTGAAACCAGTAGGTTGGAAAGGAAACATGAGAATTCCTATGCTTACCACCCTTGATAGAATACAGGTTTTGATTTATTCTTATCATTGTCCAAATTACATAACAAATTATTCTTATCCAAGCCTTAGCTTGTGCTCCCCATTTCATAGTCTGAATTCATTTTAAGATTGAGTACAGAGACTAGATCACAGAAGTACAGAATGCCAGCTGTTACAGAAAAAGGCATTTTACCATGACGAAAAAAGTATCAGCACCACTTCTGCTAATGTACCCTATTCAGTACAGTTTTAAGTGAGCTTAAAATGTAAATGCTGTGTAAATAATTATGGAGCAATTTACAGAAGTGTTAGTGCAACACTGTCTAGGAATGTGTCATATTCCTTTTCCCAACATGCTTTTCTCTTTCTTCTCAAGTTTGCTTTGCAATTTTGTATAATAAACCAGTTTTCTAAGAGGAACCTAAATTCATAAAAACGCTGCTGGATGGTTAAGAAGTATCTTCTGGAGAACATATGGCCTTCTTTTTTCTCGGGTGTACACTGAGGTATTTACAAAATGGATAATTACCCACTGATATTATCTCAGATATTATGTTATACAGGAAGTGGAGATATTTCCCTTGTAAGGACTATGAAGTTGCAGGGGGAAACCTGCTTTTAACAGTAGAAGGAAAAACTGCTAGGAACAGCGGGTTCCTCAGATGCAGAATGACAGTTTGTAAAGAGAAAAACCTAGGGTAAACTGCTTCCTGAGAAGGGAGGAGACAGGAAGTGGACAATGTGAAAAGCATGATCGGAAAGGCGGCAAAATAAACCACGTGCAAGAGGACAACGAGAGCAAAAACCAAGAAAACAACAGACTTTGAAAGCTGGGCCAGCTGAAGACGTGCCACCCAAGCTGAGCACAGGATGTTACTCAAGAAAAACCCTGCATACCAAGGGCACACTAGCTAGCAAGTCACTCTTGCCACAATCTGCCTTCATGTTTTTCTTCCAGCTAAGGAACAAACTGCCAACAGACATACATGTGTAACAGCGGTCTGTGCTTCAAGGGTATGCTGACCTGGGGGACTGTCATTGTGTCAACTCTCCCCTGTACATCAGAGAAAAATAACTGAAATAGTAGCTCTGAACAGGTTAAGTGCTCCTGTTACTTCTCCTTGTATAAACAGCGCTCAGAAGAACTACATACAAGGCAGGAAGATCTGCCAACCTAACCCATGCTTCACAGCATGAAAGCTCAGGCCAGTTTCTCAGCCTGTGGCTAAAACCTTTCATACCTCCATGTCCTGAGCACCAGGAAGCCCAGTACTGC